GCGGAACCTACAGTTGACAAGGTGAGTGCTGGAAAATCCCAGTACAAATCTAATGGGATTTGGTGCATCAAGCTCAATGGAAAGGAAGTCGTTCGTGCATTTCGTTTGCAACTGGTGTGTGAATGAACTGTTTTGAAGGAATATGCATTCGATCATGCTCCAATATTTGTCATTAGGTTGTTCTGCTGGGTTTTCTTCAGGTAAAGCCGCACCCTGTAGTGCCAGACGAGAAGACTGAAGAGATTGCTGATTCATGTCTGAAAGGGCTTAATGTTTCTCCTAAAAACGCTTTTATGTCTCTTGAGTTTCACTTGGGCGCAAGAATTGTCTTCCTCGGTTGAACCAAGAATGGCTGTCAGGAAGCTGTCAAGCAAGAGCTCTTGCGCACCAAGGGTGATGTGGCAGCGGCACAGTCTTTATACGACCGTTGGATGGACTAATACTGTTTTGGATGTATATGCGGTGTGTGTACATTATACAGTCTTCTTGAATGTAAAATACATACATCAACTTTCAAGCTGTTCTGATCTGGTGGTATGGCTGTGCATGTGTTTGGATCTTCTTGTATGAATACTGATGCATTACCATTGAGAAACATCACTCTGAGGAACCCTTAGGCTTCAACTGAAACAACAGTTTTGGAAGTTTTCGATTTGAGTTTGACTTCGCTACTTTCTGAGGAGTCTATGCGCAATGCTGCTATCGATGTGCACTCAAAGGCTGAGGCGCCCAAGTCTGAGAAGCCCGGCGAGACAAAGAATGAAGCCTGTGATGATGAAGCGGCTGACGATCAAGAAGGTGAAGAAGAGGGCTTGATGGAGGAAGATGCAATGGTGGAGGATTGGGGGGTTGATATTAAAAACGCACTATTGCATTTTTGTGAAAGGAATATGTGCTTTCCCATGATTTGTTTCTTGTTTTTTTATGTTGAAAGGACATCAATAGACGATGGTGGTTCAACAGAAAAGCCACAGAGCACTGCTTCCATGTTTGGAAAAAGCCCGTGTTGTTCCTTGCCGCCGCATATGATGACCGCAAGTCACCTTCTGAACATGATTAAACGCAGTGAATTGCTCGCAAACTACTGCAAGATTTTGGGTTATAAGTGAGTGGGTGTGGAAGATCCACAGCAGGGGGGGTCATCCAATGGCTGATCAGAAAATCATGGGAACCTCGATCACAAAAGACCTTTTGTTTGCTGCCGCAATCTGATTGTTTTTGCTATGATTTCCCTCCCTCTTGATTTTGCGACCACCGACCCAGGAGCGCGATGGAATGGAACTGGTGAGCCTCCCGACTGCTACTTCTTCATGATCTCAAGTGAAGATTTTGAGTCAGAGCTGAAGCCAGTTAGTGACGCAGAAGATGATCGAATGGCCAGCCTTTTGCTGTGGGTATACAACTATTTTGTTCATAAGGTACCTGGTGACACGGTGGTATGCCGTGAAGAAGCTGTTTACTTTGTGGGTAAAGCCACTGTGGAACACGAACCTGAATGGTTGGCCAGGATCGAATGCTTTAGTGTGTGGGACCGGCAAAATGTAACAGTTACCTTCAAACTGACTGGCCCACAGTGAAGCCAACAGGCCAACACGTGGCAGAAAAAAAAGTTTGACTCTGGTACCCAAACAACTTCTTTGCACATGCCTGTGAAACAGGTGGCATGTCAGAAACATGTACACTTTTAAGGTGCTGTGTCAGCCGCTGCAATGCGTCAACGTCTACCCCATAAGGACTGGTGTTCTGTTTCGATCCCATCATAGCAGGCAACACACTCCAATCCGAAACTTGGAGCCCCGACCTTTGTCAGTAAGAGCTCCCGGAGTACACCACCACAGCGTGGCGAAAGCGGTGGAACGACGGTGTGTGTGTGTGTGTTGTGTTAGGTTGTGTGAGCACAAGGCCCCAAGGTGAAAAACGAACACCAAACACCGACACAAGGAAGACAGAATGCGTGTGCCTAAACATACCAACATACCCAACCTACACATATGCCCTATATTGAGCTTAAGTAAATAACCACAAACACTCGTGAGGTTTCAATAGAAACCTGACGAGGTAGCTCGCCATATGTTGTTTAAAGCTGTTGGCTGGTCTGTTGCCCATCATTGTCATTGAGTGACAGTGACCACTAAGACCAGTCAGTCAAGCACTGTTTGGCAGGTATCTTCCTAAGATAGCTACCATGTGGCGCTGACATGTCATTGGTCATTGGTCCACTCACCAAGGCCAAAACCCTGGATACAGACCAAGACCCCAAACAACAGGAACAAACAATATACAGTAATCATCTCCGTCGACGGCAAACAAGAATCTTGCCCTTGTCGCAGGCGTACGCCCGTTCCATGCCAATGCTAGCCCATTGCCAAGGAGAGAAAGGGCAATGCGTTGAGCGCCAGGGCATAGGAGGAGGAGGTACATGTTCTGTTAGCCCGCTTTGCTTTCCCACACTGCACAGGCGTGTTCAGTTTCTCTTCGCCATGTGCGCCAAGCAGCCCAACGTTCTATAGGAGTTCGCGGCGTTCATCAAGGTTGCGTTGAACGCCTGCCCAAGGGTCGGCGTAACCGCTACAAACATCATCGCGGTGGAGAACACGCAAAAGAAAACAGAGCCACGAACCATGAACATTGACATGTAACATTTGGTCTCAGAAGCAATCATTTGCTCCACAATTTTACTTGTAAGGAAGCGCGTGAATCTGAAGAAAATCAAACCCACAAGTTTGCGAGGCCGCTGCTGCAAAACAGCAGCCAACCCAGTCTCAGCCCTTTTTCTTTCTTCTGGATGTTTCATTTAGCTACCGCCCGCGTCAGCCGCACTTCCCTCCTTGCGCTTCTTGCAGCGCGCTGGTTGTCCTGCAAGAAGCCGGGCAAGGTTGTGGACATCTGCTAGCTCGTGGAATCCAAGGCCCATCGCGCAGTGACGTGGAACCGCTGTGAGGAGGACTCCGCCCGACAAGTTCCATCACATCCAAGAGCAAGCCAGACTCTGTTGCAACAAACAAGAAAGAAACCACCAGTTCTGGACGAGGCTGTGCTGAATGCCAAAGGGCGGAAAGACCTTTACATATTATATACATATATACCGAAACATATATATATATATACAGATAGGGCGGGAGGCATTGACTCTTGCACCTCCTTGGTCACCTCCTTGATGTTTTCTGATCTTTCCACGTTCCTGAGTTTGGCGTAGGCTTTGTAAATTGATTTGTTGAGTCACTCAACTGAAGGCCTATGTTCCTGGACTGACAGATGAACGGACACTTACTGAGTTAGTGAGGGCGGGCGAGCGTGAGGTTCGAAATGGAAACTCTGTGAGTTCCATCTACTGTAGTTATCTAACTTATAAAATTAACACATAACTGTTTACTATGTGATTTTTGAGCTTTGACGCAGATGATTGCCATAATTTGAATTTGATAGTTTGTGGAGTTATTGTGGGAGTGGCGTGGGTGGAGATTAACTTGTTCTTTGGTTTTTTGACTTAAAGTCTTTACCCATTCATCCATGAAAGGTCATCAAAGGGAAAGGGGATGGTGTAAATCATAAGCGAAGAACGAACACAATACGAAGACAAGGTACTACTGTGAGTGCCAATAGCTTCACTGTACAGACCAAGAGGGAAGAGAAACTGCGCAAGAAGAATCTGAGTAATGTTGCCATGATTTGCCTGGTGAGGGTAAAGGCCCATCAATCCTTTTGCATGTTGTAATTTCAGCAATCTTCAAACTTCAAGAAGAACACACTTGCAACCAGCAAACGTTGACCAAAAAGCAACGAAAGCTGCGCTACTTGAGCATGAGGCGAGCCTATTGATGGATTTGTTTGACAGGGGGTCGTCTTTAAAGCCTAGGCTAAAATGCAGATGCAATGGAGCAATGTCCCACAAAGGCCTTGGGCAGTTGTGTAAGGTGTTTTCCATCAGTTGTGTGGGTGTTGTCCATCAAGGATGATTTTGATTTTGTAAGAGTAGGCAGTTTTTCAAGCAAACATTTAGTAAAGGAGGGCTGCAAACATGGTTAAAAGTTATATATACATAACATGGAAATGATGCGTTCATATAGGGTCGGGCCCTCATAGACAGGAAAAAACAATTCATGAAGGGCAAAATTCCCGCATTTGCAGATGCAGTGATGGCAGGCCTAAGTTAGTTGAGTTGCAGGATCATTGCACTGCAACTGTGCGAAAACAAATTGCTTGAGACCCTGATCTGACTATCAGAAATCCCCAGCAGGTAGAGACGTAGGCAGTCAGCAAGTCGTTCAGCTGTCCGACTCCACAGTACTTAGGGGGTGTTTTCTGTCATTAGAGCTCAAATACGATGTTCTTCTACTTCGAAGATATGTTGTTGCCAAGCCGTAGCAAAAAAGAGCATAGGGATGTCTTGAATGGATTCAGTGATTTATGATTCTAGACCTCCAGAACTCTACATCTGTCTTGATCTCAAGAAGGTCTCTAGGAACTTGGAGGCTTCATATCTCTGGATGTCAGGACCTCAAGAGCTCTAGGCCTCTAGATCTCCAGATCTAGACCTCCAGCCCTCTAGCTCGCTCTGGATGTCTAAGCGTTCAGAATTTTTTAGACCTCTAAATGTCTCTGGATCTCAAGACCGCTAGACGACTTGACCTTGTGTTACTACACCTAGAGCTTAGACCTCTAGACACAGGGTTTGGGGTCTCTTTCCCGGATAATTGATTGTAAATTGTAATGAATGATTTCAGTACTTCATCACTCAGAATCCGAAACAACTAAAAAGTGAGCAAAACACTGTAAATTTAATACAAATGAATACCTTAAACAGGTAGACTGTTTTCTGGGGGTATCATGCACATGTCTTGATTTTTGGGGCACGTTTGTGATTCCTTTTCTGTCAGGACAGTAGAACATTGAAAGTTGCTACTGCGTGTTTGCCTCGATGTTTGTGTTTTTCCCTCCTCAAAGCAAATGGTGGGCCTGTTTACAGTCCAGCTTTCGCGTCAACTCATGAAGAAGCTTAGGATGCTGAAAATGCGCTTTGGTGTGAATGGCTGGGAGGAACTGTGGAAGCACAGGGAGCTTGCCAAGACCTTGCTTTGCTGGCCTGCAAGCAATTCAAGCAAAAAACAGAAAGGGTGCAGTTTCCTAACCACACGTTGTGTTCCAGGCTCAAGTCTGACAAATGCTTATAACGTGAATTTGTTGGCCACCATAGACAGGATAAACACAAGAACATTGGAACACGGTCAATAAGCCCTGGAGGACATCATGGGGATCGAAGAGGAGGTCCTGGTTGGCATGAAAGACAACTGGCCAATCCTGGAGGCGGAGCAGAGTGAAACAGAGACGAGTAAGCAGTCATTCTCTAGCCATGTCGGGCATCATGGTGTTGTTCCATTCTTGTTTGGCGCTGGTATTCAATGCGTGGCATGCAGTATGAAATTTTTGTTGTGACACTCGCCTGTTCAGTGTCTGGCCCTAGGACACAGATGGCAACGATTTTCCAGCACGTGATGATGGCTTCAGCAAAAAGATCGCAGTGGAAAGGCGGAAGTAGCAGGGCAAACCTGTTGCCCAATAAGAGTGTTTGTTTAAGTGTCGGTCACTTCAGCTGCCAATGTTGCTTGTTTGCAAGGCACAATTGTCAATTGCCTGTGTTATTTCAACTGGCATGGACACTGCATTGCTTTACTGTGTTTGAGTTCTTGCTAGTTGTTTCTGTTCTATATTGCACGTGTCTTTGCACAGGCCCAGGTCTGTTGTTGAACCAAGATTTGATCAATCAACTCCAGGCTGCTTCCTACAAAATATTTGGGCTATGTTCATGGTACGGCAGCCAAATTTGCTCTTTCACGCGTGCATGGTTTGCAAAAAGCCCATGTGGTTTTCTCCCGCTTGGTTTGGTGCATATATATATATATATACATCTGGCCTGAATCTACCTCGCAACCTCTACTTTTCATTGTTTTGGCGCATTGGAAAAGGCTCTGACATGTTCTGACCAAGGGGTTGGATATAAAGCAGGCAGGGTGTATTGAGACCTTTTGGAGCGTTTCGACTGCCTAGGTGAATTGTATTTGAGCTTGCTTTTGGGTTCAATCGTTTACTTGGACCTGCTCACGATTATCTAATGTTGGTGGCCATACTAATCATCCTGGAGTACATAGAATCCGGAATTGGTAGAGTGTCATTGTTTGAAAGAAAAGAACTTGTGGTTTTGGACACGAAGACTAAATATGAAAAAAAATGCCCATCGATCTACTCCTGGATTTTATCAATTTAATCGGTGTCCTCTGCCCTGGGATGGATTTGGAAGTTGCACGGCATTGATGTTCTCAGTGCAAAGCATATTACTTCATTGCAGGAGTTTGAAATGGGCAGGTTCAATGGTTTTTTTGGCTCTGTCACTTTCGTCAATCCTGTGCCTATTTGGTTCTTCCTTCTCCGTTTCGCTATCGGCCGTAACCCCTAACTACAAGTTGGCTTCCCTTCACAAATATCACCTGGATTCGTTACTGCTCCGTGCTCTCCCTTTTTGTTGATGGCCGTGATCCTGCATGGTACCTCGGCCGCAAGATACAGAAAAATTGGTGTCCCCTTTTCTGTGTCTTCTCGCTTGTCCATCTCCAGTTCCTTTTCCTCCTCTCTTTGCTTGCCCTTTTCCAGCATGTCTTCTTGTGTTTCTCTTCCTTATCCTTTCTATTGTTTTGTTTTTCTTGCAGCCGACCACTTCTAATACGTCGTACTGTGCACCATGGGCAGAACAAAGTGAAGGGAAAAGGGGGAAAGGCGAGTGCGCTCGGCGGTTGGTGACACCCATAGACAGAATATTGGTAGAATATGTAAAGCTGTTACTAAACCGGCGGTCGGCGGTCGTTCTTATCTTAATCAGAGATTGAGGTCACATTTCTCTGACAACTATGTTTGGCCTTGACCTAGCTTTGACAATGATGTCATTCTACCCACTCCAGGATGGTTATAGAATAATATTGCCAGAAGGCACAGCGTTGGCCATGCGCCATGCTTCCGACATTGTTGGCTATACGCAAGAGTTCTTGCCACTGCTGTCGCAAAAGCAGCTCAATCATTGCACACAGACGAGCCCAGTAAAATGCTCTTCAGGAGGCGCACGCAACTTCATGTAGCCTGAGAGTCCATGGCTCTTGTTGCCGTACTTGATGAGGTGCGAGTCGCGGAGGGAAGCGAGTTGAGCCAGGTGCCCCAGAAATGTCTACAGTCTACAGAATCAGCAGAGGATAGAGCTGATATGATGACCTTACTTTGGTACTTAAAGTCTTGATTGACTGGAGAAGCTCTAAGCCCCGATGCAGGATTTGAAACTTAGGTTTGCAGAGGGACACAGTAGTGCTTGACAGCATGTGCAGAAGACTACAGAAAAGGTATGGACATCAAGGTTGGGAAACCTTGGGTTTAGAAAGTTCGCGCCGACGAGAGACAGCCATCAATCAGTGGCAAGAAAAGCTTGCCCAGCTCCACCCTCCATCAGATTGCTCAAGCCCAACTCTAGAGGTGCTTTACAGCCAACCCTGATCAATGAGGTTACCAATGCCCTTTTTGCGATGCGCCTCACCTGATCATTGTCCTCATGAACTCGCGCAACTCATATGGACCATTTTGCTGTCATGGAAAATTATTGCTTTCGGTGCACACAAGTGGCACACCACGATTCATAATACATAACGTGTGTTCTTAGAAGATTACGTAGCCTGTCCGCGACAATGCCGTCATTTGTGTAAAGATCAAGACGCACACAAACATACAGCTGACAATTGCACTACTTCTGCGAGACTTCAACGCATAGAACAGAACTTTGGGGCCATGCTGGGCCGTTTGCCATTGTTGGATCCAAATCTTTCCAAAAAATAATTGGGCAATGTTCAATGACGTGCAAAAGACGCATGGAGGGAGCTCCGGGGTCTTCAGCCACAGTAAAGACTTCAGAGCCGATCGGTAGCAGGTTCCGAAGCAAGTTGGAGCAAGTTCCCAGAAGATCAGGAGCAGGTTCCGGAGCAGTTTCCAGAGCAGGTTCTGATCGAAGTTCCGGAACAACTTCCGGAGACGCAGTGTCTCTAGCCACGCCTTTGCCATGTTCGTGTGGCGCATAATGCTGTCACGCGGACGTGTGGACTCATTCCTACGGTTCGCTTTGCCACGCCAATTTGCCGCCGCAGTGTCTCACCTGCATGTTGTCAGACTGTCACGCTGACATGTTATCATGCCATGGGTCACGCAAACACGCTGTCCCGTGGAAGTGCCAAAGTCGGGCCACACGCCCGACGTATTGCCGTGTTTTTATGCTCGTTTGGCACATTGAAAGGCTTATACACTTTTGAAGGCAGCGCAGTCTGGCCAAGACAAAAACTTGCGGGTGAACTTACAATGGTTCCACTGCCTAATTGGCAACTTCATGCCCAGATTGTTGGATATTTTTCTTGCTTTCTGCAAAAAAAGGCTCCCGTAGGTAAAGCTAAAGTCTCCAATCCGCCGCCGCATTACAGCACGCTTCGCGAATCAAACATACAGTTCAGTTCTGTTGATTTTCAAGCCAATGCTTTGGTTGTAAATAGGTTTGCAACTAGAAAAACGTAGTGGAAGTGAACAAGTGGTTCGCCGGTCATGCGCCATTCCAAGGTCTCTTGCCAGTTCAAGGACCGCTGCCCGCTGCGAGAAATTTTGGAAAATGGTGTGGCCATGTGTGGGTAGTAACAGATCGGGCGTGGCTTCGCTTGTAAAGCATATTGTGCGAATTATCTATTGGGTGTACGACATTTCAGAAGTTTGCCATTGCATGTTTTGAAAGGAGCAGTCTGAGATCCTCGCGCAACGGACCCGGAGGGTCGCGCCCAAGCCTCATTACGCAAAGGCAAGACACACCATTCAAAGGCCCAGATCGTGAGGATGATGGTAGTCCTTGACAATGGCAGACTATGGTAGACCAATGTTTCAATTGAGTATCATATGATTTGACAAGGGCCTGGTTTGCTTATATAGCTTGAAAAGTATATACTATATATTGTTGTATGTTCTGACTGATCCAACCATGTCAAAACGCGCTGTCCTTTCTGCAGAGGCCGCAATTCCTTCGAAAGTTCCAGAGCTGGCTCCGAGAGGCATATTTGCACGTATGTCCATTCAATTTTGATTTTGGGTTTGTTCAAGCGGGTCGAGGCAGATTCAGTGCTGATGCTTGGGTTCTCGTTTAATTGGCCGCGGAGCACGCCGCTGCTGTTCTGCAGCTGTATGTGGTCCAGCGGGGGGGCGCTGCGGACGACCACTCGGTGCAGCTGTGGAGCTGCTGTTCTGCAACTGTTAACTGTATGTGGCCCAGCGCGGGGGAGCGAGCGTTGGATGCGGACGCTGCGGACGACCACGCGGTGCTGCAGTGGCGCTGTAAGTGGTCCATGCGGGGGGGAGCGAGCATTGGACGCGGACGGCGCGGGGCACGCCGCAGTGCTGCTGTGGAGCTGCTGTTCTGCAGCTGTGTGTGGTCCAGCGGGGGCCGCTGCGGATGACCACGCAGTGCTGCTGTGGATGAGCGCGGCCACGCTGCGGATGACCACGCTGTGCTGAGGTGGAGCTGTTGTTCTGCTGTGGAGCTGCTGTTCGGCATCTGTATGTAGTCCAGCGGGGGCGCGAGCGTTGGATGGGGACGACCACGTGGCGCTGCTGTGGGGCGGTTCTGCAACTGTAGGTGCATGGTCCAGCGGGGGGCGCGGGCGTGGCGTTGGATGTGGGCGCTGCGGATGACCACGCGGCGCTGCTGTGGAGCTGCTTTGCAACTGTATGTGGTGCGGCGGGGGGGTGCGAGCATTGGATGCGGACGCTGCGGATGATCACGCGGTACCCGGATCGCGCCGGATTGCTGTTGGATCGCGGATCAAGCCCAATGTCTCTGTGACGTTGCGCTGTGCCCAGCTTATGTCAAGAGCTCCTTTGGATGGCTCTCCCGGTTGATCCAATTCATGATCACTGTCATGAAAACGAGCGGCTGGAGTTTGGAAAGTCTCAGTGTCGCTGAAAATATTGTGTGGTTTTTGCTTTTGGCCGGTTCCCGGGCTCACCTTGTTTCTTGGTGGAAGTTTGATCCGCACTTTTTGTCAGAATGTTGATTTCATGGATCCGCTATCCTGGCTCAGCTACCATAATTGAACGCCAGATGGAGGCATCTGTGCAAGTGGCCTGTCCGCGGTGTGTGAAATGGAGTGAAAGGAATGAATGAATGAATGAATGAAATGAAATGGAATGGAATGGAATGGAATCAAATGGAATGAAATGAAATGAAATGAAACGAAATGAAATGAAATGACATGAAATGAAATGAAATGAAATGACATGAAATGAAATGAAATGAAATGAATGAAATGAAATGAAATGAATGGAAATGAATGGAAAGCAAATGAAATGAAATGAAGTGAAGTGAAATGAAATGAAATGAAGTGAAGTGAAATGAAATGAAACAATGAATGATTGAATGAATGAATGAATGAATGCAGGAATGAATGAATTAATGAATTCAATGAAATGAATTGAAATGAAATGAAATGAAAGAATGAATGAATGAATGAATGAAAGAATGAAATGAAATGAAAAGAAATGAAATGAAATGAAATGAATGGAATGAAATTAAATGAAGGAAACGAAATGAAATGAAACGAAATGAAATGAAACGAAATGAAATGAAACGAAACGAAGCGAAATGAAATGAACTGAAGTGAAGTGATGTGAAGTGAAGTGAAGGGAAGTGAAGTGAAATGAAATGAAGAAAGAATGAATGAATGAAATGAATGAAATGAAATGCAACGCAATGGAGTTGAATGGAATGAATGAATGAATGAATGAATGAATGATTGACTGGTTGACTGAGTGAATGAATGAATGAAATGTGGTTTTGTCATGTGTCCGTTATGCTGTGTTTGTTTTGGTGTCTTTGCCGTTCTGTTTGGGTCATGCGTTTTTTTGTCTCAGTTGTGTTTTGGTCATGTTTTCGTGGTGTCTCGCACGAACAGGATGCGCCACATGTTGCTGGTAGTTGCACTATTAGGGTCATCGCTTGGGTTAATCATTCTTACTGTACGTTATTTTTGGGAATTTGGGTCTGTGGCGCAAAGGCTTGTGAAGTTCATGAATTTGCAAACACGCAAGTAGGCAAGCAGTAGTTGGTGTGTCGAAATGCGGCTTTGCGTTTGAGGCTGCAGTCTATTCCCGCATGTTCAATCTAGCTTGGTGGCACTGGTGCAGTTGACGCTAGCGCTGTTTGTGGTAAGTTTGCTAGCTTCAGTTGCACCTTGTGAGGTATTTTGGGTTTCTACTGCATAAGGTCATAAGGTGGTGCGCTCGTGCTCGCAAAACGATTTGTTTTTCACGAAAGCTACCTTTCGCCTTCTGAGTTGGTTCTTGCCTCAGCAAGCCAGGGGATGTTTGAGGCCAAGCAGAGTGATCTTTCAGTAGAATCCCCCTCCCAGTGGCAAGACAACGGCAAGCTGGCTGTTGTGTTTGCTCATCATTGATTAATGGAACGAGGATCACACAATCAACCGATTACCCTAGTTTTCGCGGACCCACGCTGGCCTCAATTTGTTGTTGATGAGGTAGTGGGTTTCACCACTTCACGTGACAGGTTCTTACTGCTTCCAAGAGCGGTTCAGTGTAACCAAACAAAAAATAGCGACAAAACGTAGGTTTGATAGTTTGTTCTACACATTATATAGTATTACTGTATGTAGATGACGTATATATATATATATGCTACACTAGAATTCAACATAATAATGCATATGTGAGAACCCACCTTTGGCGCCCAAGCTGTGAGAGTGAGCGCGAGCAAGCGTCTATATAGTTTTATGTGTGAGGGAGTTCTCTGCTTCTCTATTGGGCAGTGAGCTGCCAATTCTATTGAACCCTGTGCGGCATGCCGAATTTGCAAGTCAAAACATCCATGTTAGGGGTTTGATGTTTTGTGTTGCAATTTACAATGTACAAAGGATGGCAAGTCAAGGGTTTCTTTGTTCTACGCAGGGTCAGTGCCAGCTAGGAATCGTCCATGCATTTCATTACTTGTTTCCTCACCTTGCGATTCTTGAGAACAATATATGAACAAAAGACCAGGTTTTTGTGCTTTGATGCTCGAGTTTCTGTTGTCAATTGAAGCCGTCGGCAGGTCGGAGAGCCGACAGCTGGGAACCAAAGCACTTCGCGACGTGTGTTTTTATGCCCATTTGATTACATTTGTCCGAAAATACAAAGGCATATGGGGTATTGTTGATTTTCCGCGGGTTGAAATCACACCGTGGAGAGGTAGCATAGATTCGCTGGCAACTTGTTCCGTTTGGATCTACATGTTTAGCTTGTACGAGCTTGTTTATACAACGAGCTTGCTTCAGAAAACTGTTGCTGGCAAATCAACGTGCAAGGCAAACACCTCGCTCACACAGGCTGGGCAACATTGCGCGAGAGTTCTTACTGCTCCTGACGGCCGTGTCCGGTCAATAAAACACTCGGATTGCACGGTCTCCAATAGACTGCAAGATGCAGTATTGCGCTTCCTCACCCAGAGCTTCAATCACGTCCACAAACATTACAAAACATAATGTACAACCTGCGTCCCTTTGTATAACTTTAGATTGAACATGATTCAACAAAGCTGGCATGTTCTGGCCTGGCTAAAGCAATGTCAACCACCAGGATCAGTCTGATCAGTCCCCAGCTTTCGAGCTAAAGCAGCAAACGAACCTGTGAAGTGCGGCGCGCCTATTTTCGGGATATCCCTCCGCTTTCACTTCCGGTGGGTCAAGACATGTCAAGACCCAACCACCAAAACCAAGGTCGGTATGCGCTGGATCGTGGAATGCATGTCGCCTGAGAGTATGAGTTTTGACCAGAGTCTATTTTCGCCTCGACAAATCCAGAAGGCCAATTATGAGGAAGAGCTGCGAGCGTTGAACAGGTCCTTTAGAGAGATAGAATGCACATTCATTCAGTTGTAATTTGTATGACACTTGCGAATGCCTGCCAACTTGCAAACCCACAGTTCACGTGAGCGCACATGTTGCTAAGACGACCGCGCAACGTGGCAACGTGTTCCTGTTGACGAAGTATGACAAATCTGCGCAGGTCAGAAGAGTCGCATCGATCCTCGGCCTTTTCACATGGATCAGAGACGTCTAAGTTGATGACTCGAGCCCGGACACTCAAGCTTCCGGACGCAGGGCTCTTCGGAAGCTCAGAATCAAAGTAGCTCTTGCAACCTCAAGCATGGTCACTGTCACTAACAGTTAGTGACTAGTCATTGTTTGTGCGCGTGCGTGTCAAGGTATCTTGAGGGGTGCAGCAAGTTGTCCTGAAGGGCGGTGGCCACGAAGGTTAATGTTTGCCAATCGCTGAGAAAACGCAGCAAATCGCGAGGTGGTCAGAGCCTCCGTTTTAGAGGCTGGAGCGACAGAGGCGGTGTTGGGGCCACGTGTCCAGGGAATGCCCGGAAATGACCAGCGTGCAGTCAAAGAGTGAAGCCCTTGAGTATCCTTGAGTAGCATATGTTGAAGCTGACTTCTGGTATGATTGAGGCATATTGAGGCAGTGATCTTGAGGGTCTGGAAGAGGAGTAAGATATGTACAACTCTGATTTTTTCCTTTTTGCATCATGAGGGCATTCAGTCACTGAGCGTTTCGCCACCCGTTCACCTCTGCAGATCGAACTGGATCCAACAGCGGATCCCTTGAGCATTTGCACCTTGAGAAAAGCCACGCTTTTCATGTAGTTTTAGCCGTGGATTTGCGTTTCCACGAGTTGGCACCGGAGCCACTGACCCGGGCCTTGGACTATGCCAGTTTGGGGCGCTCGGTCTCCGTAGCTTCGCTCGTCAGATGGGATAGGCTGTTCGGGTTCATACTGGCCTTTATGACCTACCTCCTCATCGACTTCATCTACATGGACATGGGTGGACCTGGAAGGCTATGCCCATGAATGGCTACAGCCTGGACTCCCTCATGCGACGAAGGCTTTGCCCGCAATCCACTACATCATGGACAGCTTCGAGTACCAAATGACTATGCCCGTGATCTGGGAATGGCGTGGAGCCTGCACATGAGAGTCATGACTCATGGCATTGTCTGACCTGAAAAGAGCACACTTGGTCCGTGGTGGATGGAACCTGGAGGCGCAGTCTTTGCTAGAATCGCAGACGTCACCACCATGGTGACGACCCTGACGACCACGACGGCCATGGCCATGAATGAGGAGAAGAGACATCGCGGACCAGTGACCCGACAGTTGATCCCTCATGACCAGGATGACGCTCACAGACCTCATGCCGTCTGCGCAACGAGTTCCAAAGGCTCTTCGTCTTTTGGCAGCAGCAATTTATAGGCGCTCACCGTCAGCCACGGCGTTGGAGTATATCCCCGATGGTGAACCTGCCAACGCCCAATTTGTCCTCATGAGCCGCATCATCCAAGCTTGTTTGATAGCCGCCGGGTTATATGGACATCGACACTGCGTGCCAAAGGCCAACTGCTTCGCACCTCCTACAACCTTCACCCCTATATGAGATCACGAAAGACGAGACCTTCCAAATTGACTCAGGCGAGCCCATCGTCTCCACCACCTTGGCAATGCTCGCGGCAGCAGTGGAAGGTGCGCGCTGCTTAGTCTTGGGCGCGCTTGATTTGGAAGCTTGGCAGTTTGTCCATGTAATTGATGTTCCCAACCAGTTGGTGTTGTTGAGCAAGCTCGACATTTCAGTTCCTTGAGCGCTTGGACGGCGTCTTGCAATGAGAATCACATATAGTTTCCTCCCAAACCAGATCGACTTGCAGCTTGGGCAAAGATCACCGCTCAAGGACTCAGTGATCCTGAAGTGAACCTGCCGCCGTCTTGTGTTCAGGTTGCTCAGGAATTGAAAGGCGAGTCCAAACCATCTTTCGGACATCCTCATGCACCTCAGTGCGCAGCAACGGCGTTACCAGAGATGTCATCGCGAGTTCCCCTGTGCCACTCACAGAGAAGGTGTAAACAATCAGAACAAACTCCAAGTTCCTGCAGTTCCTGCATTCTTGCAAACAACTTATACCTAGGGACATTGTCAAAAGCCTTGCTTTAAGTCCAGGCTCAAAGTCGCTCCTCCAAGCGTCAGCCGGCTTATGGCGCCGCGCTGTCAGTTGGCCCGTGCTGAGACAATGTCGTGAGGCACGCGCAACGGCGTCAGACGCGCCCCTAAATGTGAGGTATGCGAATTATGGAGACGATTCAAATCACACATATCTGCTGCCTGCCGAGCCTCAGTCAAAATCTGTTGAACCCGAGTCTATTTTGCCTGTTGCGCGCAGTGAGCCCGACGATGTTGCGTTATGAGCTGCCGCGCCCAAAACACGAAGTTGAGGTCTGTCCCCACCACGCTTTGATAGTCCGAAACAGGTCCCATTTCTGAGCAGCCAAACTGTCAACCTGTCCAGTGTGAACCAGTCACGCCGTTTGAAGAGTAAAAGCACCCTGGAAGAGGTTGTTCAAATGAGAATGCGTCTGGTGAAAACAGCCACGAGGCCTGATGAAGAAGCTCGGTTAATTCCACTTGGATCGATGGCGCCACCTGGTGACCCGGCTCGTGGTTGTGAGCCAGGCATGGCTGACACTTCACACAGCCACCCGACTCAACATCCTGGACAAGGACGCGACCGAACAGGAGAAGCCTCTGATCAGAGGCGCAATGTCAATTGCCAAGGAGCGAGCCAAGCAGCGCACCAGCAAGAGCGAGGCCAAAGCTTCCCGCCAAAGCCTCATGGACTCTTGCCAACGCCTGACGTTCAAAAGACGGCAATCGCCAGGGAAGCTTCGCGACTTGCCCTTTCCGCCGCAGGCGCGGCCCTAGGAGGGCCGAGTTCCTTCAACGCCTCCAGAGCGAAGTGCGTCCGGAAGACTTCAAGGAAGCATGGCATCGAGTTCGACCCCCTTCCATAACATCCTCAGCGGCAGGCCATGAATCGCGAGCGGAAGAGGAGATGCAAGACGTGGACCACGCCTCCGCCACTCATGGTCATCCCAGACTCGGACGGACTTTCTCACCCTGGCAAGCGTAAGAGACTGACAGGCAATCTCACCAAGGAGGTCTTCCTGCTTGAATCTGAGGTCGGCGCCATCAACAACCTGACAGGTGACATGGAGAAGAGCTTTGGAATCGATCTCATGGAACTATATGCGCCGGAACCTCCTTGCCGACTACAATGGCGCAGAAGTATGGTCTCAGCGCTTTGCAGCCCTTTGACAAAGAAGACGGCTATGATCTGAACAAGAGATCAGTGAAACAAGTGGCTGACTTCGCTTTGAACAAGTTCCGGCCACTCCTTTTGCTGATTGGTTTTCCATGCACTTTCTATTGCGTCATGAACGAGAACATGAACTACCAGCACCGCATGGAAGATCTTTTGGAACTTCGAGGTGTTCAGCGACCACTTCTGGAATGGATCGTGGCCAGGTTGCGACAACAGCTGCGAGAAGGGAGAATTGCAGCACTATAGAAAACCCACCTCGCAGCAGACTTTGAGGTGAACCTTCAGTGCGCCGTTTGATCGAAGAGTTCAACCTCTTTCTGGTCAAGTGTGATGGTGGCTACTTTGGCGCGACCAACCAGAAAGGCGAGAAGATCATCAAGACATACCAGGTCGCAACAAACAGTCAAACGAAGCTCTTGGTCATCAACTGACACAACAAGAGCGAGCTGAATGCGCACCACGACTTGATCGAAAAGCCGTGACTAAGTCTCAAGAGTACCCAGTCAAGATGGTGCAAGCCCCACTTCGTGCCCTCAAACATGAAGCGCGCCAACACTATACCCGCGCCAATTTCAGGAAGTTAATCAAAGAGGCAAAGAGGTCTATTTTGCCCAGCCTTCCGATGATGAGCCGACATGGAGACGCCTTCTTGACGAAGTGGGTCAGATCTTCATGAGAAGCCCAACGAGAGCTTTGACTCTGCAGCCCGGGCACGACCTCTATGACAAGATCAGTGCACTGGTCCCACGCGAGCTTGGCTGAATTCAGATTGGGTCGAAGCCTTTGACACTCACTGTGGAAGCTTTTGCTCCACAACGATGACACCATGGCCATAGAGGTTGAAGACACGCTGGTGAGCCAAATTCCAAAGCAGCGCCTTGAAAAGTCAATTCGGCGCGCAATCTTCTCCTACGGATTTGCAGCTCCTGACCAACCAAGAGAAGAAGAAGCCAGCGCAGAACCTCCAGTGCACCTACCTGGCAACACATGAAAGCGCCAACGTGAGCGTCATGACGGCTCTCGAGTACATGAAGTGTGGAACTTGCGAGCGCAATGTGCGTCCAACACAACCAAGAGCCGCGACTTCAGTTCACAGGCCAATTTGGTGAACGAGCGCAAGCAGATGTGTTTTACACCAGAGGTCTCTCACATTGAACAACCACCCGATCTTGGGGCGTTGTGGACATGGCAACCATGCAATCTGCAGCAAGCCATTCGGCTGGTCACCCTCAACGCGCAGCATGTTTGGGACAGCTTTCGCACCACTTGTGCCACCCTTTGCAGGCATCTTCAAGGAACACAGCGTTGCTGCAGAGGTTCACGCGGCGGTTGGTCCACCAGAAGCTCATCGGCGGATAGGGGCTGTCGAGAGGAGAAGCGCTGTTTTGCGGACACTGATTGAACGCCTGGGTGACAACCACGGAGTCACAGGTGGTGAGGGTATTGATTTTGTTCTGGTGGCTTCAACTAAGCTCATCAAAACTCGACCACATCGACCAACGGCCGCAGTCCATATCAAGCTGCGTTTGGCAAGCAGCCCCGCTTTCCTGGAAATTTGGTTGGTGATGAACATGCTCTCACAGTTGGTGAGAGATACTTGATGGGCGAGCAACTTCGAGTTCAGGCACTTCATGCCATCAACGAGATGAGGGCATCGCAAACCATTCGAAGAGCTATGGCAGCTTACTGGAGATGTGCCCGCAGCCCGCTGCAGCAGAAGCCACTGCAGAACACGCAAGCACCGCAGGTGCGCCGCCAGCATCGGCTCTACGCAGAGAGCACGGTCTTCCAACCGAGGACTTCTGGCAGAACACACCTTACAAGCTCATCCGGCATCGCGTGATACCTCGGCGTCACCTGTGCACGCCAGGTGAAGTCAACACCTTGCCGACAACGGTCAGCAAACTCTCAGGCAGCAGAACGACACGTCCTAACATGAACGGAAAAGATCACACCAATCCACAACACCTGGATCAGCAGTACACAACAACGAGCAGATCTTGGTAAGTGGTGGGCATGGAGAAGCGAGTGTCAAGGCAAGAGCGCAAGGCCATGGCCAGAGAGATCCCATGGCGCACGATCATGAAAGATGATCCTCGGGCGCTGCAGCGCTATGTTGAGGCCAACAAAAAGGAGCATACCAGAGCTTCCTGAACCTGAGTGATTTTGGCGGATCCCGCGCTGAAGAAAAGAGTCATCCCTGCCAGAAATGCCTACAGGGACAAGAACCGAGGCGCCGGTCTAACGATTGAGGACATCCTGGCAAAGTTCCGCCAGTGCTTGGGCGCTTGGATCCTGATTTGACCACACTGAATCGCACTTCGCCCACTCCTTCCAATTTCTCTGAAAGCCTCATCCTCCAGACCTTTTTGCAGGGCGTTGCTGAGGCTGTTCGGAGAGATTGTGGATGAGACCTCCGTAAGATGGCATTCAACAGCTCGCTGGCACGCTCCCGAACAATCTTTATTTGGCGCAGGGGAACTTGTGTGGGTTCGCTTCGGCTCCATACACATGGTTCCCAATAGACCGGTTTAGTTAAAAACTACGTTTTATCATGTTTTATCTAAATTCAATAAGTTTAGCTAAATCGTACTTCGACAAAGTTAAAATGTTCAGGAATAGCTAAAACTATGTTTTCACTATTTTCTCAAATTTTGACTAAAATGGGTATATCGTAAAAATTAGTGTAAAAGAGATAAATTTTTAGAAGTTAACCATTCGAAGTTTCTTCGAAACTTCGACGGGTGCACTTCGAAGTTTACTTGAAACTTCGAAGGGTGCACTTCGAAGTGTATAATCGAAGTTTCTTCCAAGTTTGATCGAAACTGCGAATGTTCCCAGCTATGGAATTGACCAAAAGCTTTTCATGTCCAAACATATCGCTTCGAAGTTTGACCAGCGGCGCTTCGAAGCCTCACCGGTAACATTTCGAAGTTTATTCGAAGTATCCATATCTAATACTACTCCTGTACTGTTTGTTGATTAGATTTTCAATCTCTTGCTAGTCCTTCAAGAAGAAGTCTGTTGTAGCAACTATGTGGGCCGGCCTTTCAACCGCCGATTGACTTAACAGGTCCACTTCGTGTGGCTAATTTTGGACGTTCGACTGTCACCCGCTCTTCAACGACTTGCAAAAGTGAACAGTTTTGAAAGGAAGAAGGTCTGAGTCTATAAGGCGAGTCACATTGGTTTCGTCGAGGATTCTAGAGGAAAAGGGTTTGTAGTGTAGAAACTTCAAGAAGAACAGTTGTTTGACTTTTGATTGCCGCTGTCCATGTCAGAAGGGTGTACCAACTTGCGGTCACGCATTGAACATACGCAGGTCCCTGGTGTTGAGACATCTTCGGAGCGCTCACCTCAAAATGTGCTGGGATTGGCCGCGCTCATGGCGCAATGAAACCCAGCGCAGCATTGCAGCTCCAACATTCCATTGGCTCACTGATTCTTTTTCGCCAGACGCCAGACATCTGTTCAGGTCCACTCAGCAAATCAGACCTATGATATATGTGAAAGAAAACCCTTCACGTGGAAGCAAGTTCCGGAGGTTCAGGGAACACATTGGAATTGTTTCTCGTGTTCACGGCCAAAGACAATGCGGGGGTAAGTTTCTCACCCAGGTCAGATTCAGACAAGCTGGACATCAGCATGCCTTCTGCGCGGTGCTCGAGTTTTGTTCTTCAACGCAGTGTCGGTTTGCGTAGAGGCAGTTGTTGACAAATTACGCACGAACGAAGTCATATAGATTTGGGAATGTGGGGCCGGGGGGTGGCAAAACCAGAAGACTCCGGCCTAGGGTGGGATTGGGTTGTTAGGGTGGGCCTCAATTCCATCAACTGGGTGCTTGAGGGCTCAAAGGGGATCACCGCGAAGAGGCAGTTCAAAGATCCTTTGGGCGAAAGTCGAATAGAAGGAAGGTTCCCATTGACATTTAAGAGCCATAGCCAACGATAGCTGTTTGTGTTGCTGATGCTCTGCACAACATGAAAGACTGTAGTGTGTGTGTGTGTTTAGAGAGTTGAGAGGAGGATTGTAGAGGAGCAGTTTGGTGGTAGAGACATCTCAGGGAAGGAGGGCAGGCTGGGCCAAAAAAGGATTGCGAAAAAGAATCGGTGGAGGAAAGAGCTGCGAGGTGTTGCAAGAGGAAGATTTTGGAGGACAATGGAGAAGCAAACATGCATTGGAAGGAGCGAGAGTGTTGTTCTTCCTTGGCAACGAGAGGAAGGAAGAGCACAAAATCATACAAAAGCAAGGCTTCAAGCTGCCTCTCGTGGTACGCGATCGCCCCACGCCCCCGTCCTGTCGCATCTCAAATGGCAATGGGAGGAATTTGCTCGAACGCTGGAGCAGAGTTGGGTTCGCGCGTAATTCTTATGGGTTCTTTTTGTAAGGAGTTGAGTGGTCAGTGCTTGGCGCGTTTCTCCAATCCACCACACCGAAGGTGCTGAGGCGGCGTTAAACTGCAACCAGCGCGTGAATCGCTCAATAGCCTTAGCTAGGGGAATATTCTGTATCGTGAGCATTTGTCTGGGAGAGGAGAGGGAGTGGGCGAACATGAAAAAGCACATGGTTTTTATATATCACGTATGTATACTTGACTATGTTTATCATCGTATCATTTGCATCAGCAGGTCCATGACAGGCAAACAAACAACTCCTTTCAGCAGTCTATGACCATATAGCTTTCATGGTTGCATCATATGCATCAGCTGGTTGCAACTGTATCGTTTGTTATGGCGACATAGGCACCAGCTGGCTGCAATGGCATAGTTTATTGTACAAAATGCGTGCGAATTAGTATAAGTTGACACACGCGCACAAAATTCAAATAGGGTGAGTGATTTTAGAGACTTCTTGAATCCTATTCATCCATGTCATGCTGCGTTCGTGTCTGATATGAAGTCTTGTCTCGATCATGTGCATTGTATAGCTTATTGCGCGTAATCGCTCTATTGTTTGACCCCTAGAAAATGTGCATTTTTCAGGGTGTCCTTAATTTGCAGGCATTGTTGGATGTAATTTGGAGTTTGGCGCCCGTAAAAATGCAACAATTTCAAGCGGGTTGAAAAATATATCCAACGATGCTTGCATGTTGCAAGTAAGGCATAGCTACGCAATTTGTAAGAGGGTTCAAAATAGAGTGATTGTAGATTATATATATGTATATCTTGAATCTTGAACACTGACACTTCGACACTTACACTTACACACTGACACTTCCACCACATTTGCACTACATACACTGACACTTCGACACTTACACTTACACACAGACACTTCCACCACAGTGTAAGGGGAAGAGCGAAAGCATCCAAGTGCAAAGTATGCAAGTGCAAGTATGCAAGTGATGGGTATGCAAGCACGCAGTGTAAGTATGCAAGTGATGGGTACGCAAGCATGCAATGAGCACGCAAGCATGCAATGAGTAGGCTGCATGCAGGCTAAATCAAAAATATGCTCAGCCAAGTGCCACTTAGGCTTGGCATGCCAGGAACAAACATCATTTTCATCGTCTCTTTGAATGTGAGATTCCAATGCCATGTACTGGCTCTTCAATGCCCTTCCATATTTGGCCAGCTTCCTGCCATTGAAAGCTTCCACGTGCTGATAGACTTAGGTGGTGAAGGTGGCAACTTTGTGGATTGCTTTTTGCAGGCTGGTGCCTGTGTCAAACTCGTGTGCACTTGTCAAAGTGCTCAATATCCCCTGCCTGCAGGTTCAGGGGCCTTCCCAGGCTGTTTGGGCAATTGCGCACTGGCTGGGACACCCAACTCTGAGTAGATAGTCTGAATATGTGCCCACAATCTGCTTGCTTTTTCTGGCTTCTTCCCTTCATAGCAGGGCAACAAAGCGTTCAAAACTTGCCCTGCGCAGGCTGCACCACATCCTTCATCCATGACACGCGTCCAATCAGGGACTATGGTGTGGTTGGTAATTGGGCTCACATGGAAAAGTGGTGCTATGGCCTTTTTTCTCTATTCCAGGCTTGCCAGAAATTGGGCCTGGTCCAGGCTTTGGCTCTTTCTCTGATCTAATGTTTGGCATCTCCACTCACCTGGCTTGCAGGAGCACAGCCAACACGTTCCTACTTTGACATTGTGCATAGGACAGCCATACCATTTTACATTCCAATCCCAATCTCCTCGCATCATAACTACAACAGCCTTGCGCAGGCTTTTGCCAATTCTTGTCAATCGAAAGGATTCTTCGAAAGGAGCACCATCATGCCTCAATGCAGGCTGCATTCCCAATACCAAATGTTTCAGGCTCCAAGCAAGAACTTCCAAGATGGCCTGCGTGGTCTCTGGCCTTGCAATGAATTTGGCATCAACGCAAGTAAGGGGGACTCAAAGCCTTGAGGCCAAGAGGTTGACAGTGATGAAATCCAAGCTAGATTGGTTCATTCTGCCTTGCAGCACAGGCACTCCATCACCATGAATACCTAGAGGCACCATGCCTTGCGCAGGCTCACCGCAATCTGCACAGCACTGGGCCAACTTTGTGCAGACTCCAGCCTTCTCCAGCTTCTGCAGTTGATAGCGCACATCCTTCCAAGCTTCCCTGTCAGGTGCCTCATAATGGCCTTCTGCAGGCTGACTTTGGGCCTTGGCCCTGGCTTTGGCCTTGGGCTTGGCCTTGGCTACAGCTTTTGGTGAAATTTTTCATTCTGATTCTGGGTGCTTGGGGTGAGCCCCTTGCAGAATCCTTGGTAGGGGTGCCTTCCTCAGGCTTGTCTTTGTGAGGAGTGGCTGTCTCTTGCTTCACTACAATGGTGCCTTGTTCAGGCTCTGGTGGTCCGCCTCTTTCTAGGTGGCGTGGGTGCCAGGTTTGGTGTGTTTGTGCTTGTTGTGTGGCGTTGGTTGTTTGAAGGTGCTGGTGTGTTG